CCCAAAGCTCACGGTTGACCGCGACTAACGACAAAACCCAGAAAACAATTACAGGGTTTGGCGATTGACTGCGGCAGTCAACCGCACCAAGTCCAGATTCATATCCCTTGTCTGTGCACGTATTCGATCGACCGGCCTAGCCTCACGGTCGATCGAAAATCACCAAAAATATTTCCCTACTTCCAAAATTCCTGTTCTTCTCCAATTTCTTCGCCAATTCTACAATTCTCATCCTCGGCGAAGTTTTCTCAAAACTAAGCCGACACCAATACCAACCAAACATCCCACTTGTTGCATCCAGTACGAAGTGAAACAAAACCACGATAATGGACTCAATTCATAACAAGTCGGGAACCCAAATGAGAATGCGAACAATCTCCAAATATCGGTATTAACTCACCAAACCGGCTGCATCATAAAATAACTTCCTACGTATCTTCTTACCCAAGGAATCAAGCCTCATGTAGTTCACCAAATGGCCTCCAAAGGCCCTCAATCAACGAGAAGAGTTTTCAACCCTTCTCCAACATCACCAACAAATCTACAACTAATAACTTTTTCAATGGCCCCAAAATGAAACGAACTAAACACCTCCACCTGAGGTGAACCAAAGGCCATAGCCAAATCCAAACTGTGTCCATCAGCTGCACTCGAATTAACTAACTCATCATCTGTATCCATATCAATATGATCCCCACTCTATGTCACCTCAGCTGGAATCCCAAATGATACAGAATAATCTGGAGAACATGGAATAATCTCCACCCATCGTGGAGTAGCATCACTCTCCACCCGCTAGGATATCCTAACGATCTGTCCAACACTCTCCACCTGCTGAGAGTCAAATGTGACATACCTGCTCAGAACAATATCAGAGTCTAATACCTGATAACCAAACATGACTCTGAATTCCAAATATGCACTCGGATCAAATCTCATATCTTGGATGTGATAATATGCTAGGCGACCAAATATCCGAAACAACCCAAAATCTAAAGCAGCTCCACCAGATCCAAATACTCCAAATGCAACAGTCGACAACCTTTGAATAAGATGACTCCAATATGTCAAAGCCTCAACACCAGAACTCCTTTACAAACCAATGCTCGACATCAAACACCGATCCTCCTCCAGCAAGGAACGACTTATCAAATCTGCCACCTCATCTCGTCACCCTAATGTTTCCTCTCTAATGAAGTGTCTCAAACTGTCGTGATCTAGGCACAAATGCAGAAATGAAGCCCTACCAAAATCAGAATGACGTATTACCTTTCTGCTAATACACTTATTCCATCTGTTGTTGACTACTAGGACTTCACTCTAACAGGACATGGTTGTAATCCATAAATGCCTAGAATAGTCACTAACACAGGAAACCAAATACATATTACCTCCCAATGATACCTCCTTAGAAGGCCCCCAAATACCTGAATGAACACCACCGAGAAGACCCTTCACTCGATGAATAGAAGTGCTAAACTCCACCTCGGTCTTTTTTCTCATATCAATGTACTCACAGGACTTCAATCTGTAGGTCAAAGCACTTCTCAACAATCCAAGCACGACATCAACAATCAAATATCCCAGCATCAACAAACGCCACAGTCTAACCAAATCCAAAGAAGTCGTCGACTCTCTACCAATCATCATGCTCCTAATTAAATAGTACAAATTCTTTTTTCTGACGTCTTTCATCACAATCATGGACCCAAATGTGACCTTCAATGATGTATCTTCTAAAGTTACCCGATAGCCTGCTGCCTCCAAAACTCCAAGTGAAATGATATTCTTCTTTAACTACGGAACGAACCTCACTTCATCCAACCCCCGAATCACCCCGTCACACATCCTAATATGAACGGTACCGATACCACTAATAAGACATTCATGATTATTACCTATGAGGACGACATCTCCTCTTCCCAATTCCTCAAAGCTAGAGAACCAATCCCTCCTAGGAAAAATATGGTAAGAAGCACCCGAATCTAACATCCACTCTGTAGAGTCGGCAACACAAAATGACAATAGTGCAGGACACGAATAGCCTGAAGAATTCGAATCTGAATTGTCGCCACTAGACTTGGCAATATTCACCTCTGAAGCTTGAATAGCTTTCCCCTTATTCTTCCCAACTAGATCTGTCAACTTTGGGCATTCGACTTTCCAATGTACATCTTCTTTACAAAAAACACACTGATTCCTACCAACTGCAGGCTTGATATGAGTCGTCATGCGAGCATCTTTGATCATGGAATTGTCAAAGATGGGTTGAGAAGAGGATGACAGAAACACAAGAATAATTCAGTATGTGGCGAAGGAAAATACTCTCTCTAGATTATGAGTATGAAAAGATTACAATCTCTCTCTCATAATCTCACTAGAATCAAGAACAAACTCTCAATTCTCTCTAAACCCTAATCTCTCTTGATTAGAATCTCTCTTTGATTACATCTGATTCCTCTCTAGATCAAAACTGATCTCTCTTAGACCTAATCTCCTTAGATCTACATCTCTAATAATCTCCTCTATTTAGAAACCCTAAAACAATTCTTTATATAGATGTAACAACGTGGATGGCAAAGTGGTAAATAACCAAGCTCAAACCCCACAGGAATTTGTGCAAATAGAAACCCAAACGAACTAGAAATCCTTCGATGAGTTGACTCATGTGCACATATGAGTCGACTCATGACACATAGGTCGACTCATACAGTGATGAGTCGACTAGTCAGAGACTTTTAACAAAACGTCTGAGTTTCATGAGTCGACTTACGACAGGCATGAGTCGACTCAATCTGATGAGTCGACTCATGACTGTTATGAGTCGACTCACGGGCTGAAAACTGGATGCTTCGATTTTTTGATTCGCCGTCTCGTTCTACGCTTCAACCTACGTTCCACTGTGTTGTTTTGCACCTCTATTCTCAAGCTACCATGAGAATCATCTATCCTCAAGCTCTCATGAGGATCGCTAAGTTCCAAAGAGAAGATACACTCGTATCAAGGGTGTGCTCCTCTAGACTGCGACCTCTTACTTCGGTTTGGACTCTTTCCTCTTGCAACCAATGTCCCCGCTACTGTATCAATCAAAGTCTCCTTATCCTTTTTTTGAAGCTGATAATTCACAAGTGCAGTGGTGACCTTACTATACGAAAAAGATGTCTTCTCATTAATAAGAGTAAAAATTAAGGTCTTATATTCTTCGTCGGCCAAGGAATTCAACAATAACAACGTCTTGTCCTCATCTTCAATCATAACATCTACATTCGCCAAATTCGCAAGAAGCTTCGTGTAGTTGTTTATGTGATCACCAATGGAGGTTTCCTTCTTTAATTGGAAGCGATAAAGCCTCCTCTTCAAATGCAAGCGATTTTCCACACTCTTCATTAAATACTTGCTCTCTAGGATCTCCCAAATCTTCATAGCCGAAGTCTCATTAATCACATCATATTTCAAATCTTATGTTAAACAAGACATAATCACACCACACGCCGTTCGATTCATCTTCTTCCATATCTTCTTCTCAATGTCATCCAGTTTCCCGTCCAACTCCAAAATATCCTCCAAATTTTACGCGTTAAGTGCATCCAAGACTTCACATCTCCAAAAACTAAAATTGTTAGTGCTATTAAACTTCTCCACGTCTATCTTCATAGAGTGAATACTCAAACTTTGAATGGTTTTCACGCCAGAAGTACCCTCCACAACTCCTTCTTTCTCGGCCATCTTTCTCAAAGCACCAATAAACCAATACGGAACAACTAAAGAATAGATCCAAACTAAAAAAGTGAGATTTTTACCTCCAACCGAAACCCTAACAAGAGCCTCCAAAAGATCTCAACCCCACACGACGGAAATGAGATCCACAATAGTAAAAATCCCACCTCTATCGCCAACTGAAACCCTAGACGAGCTTCCAAAGTGATCTACTGCTCCACCTAGCCCAAGCGTAGCCAAAGCTCTGATACCACTTGTTGTGCTCTGATACCACTTGTTGTGTGCGGTGGCCAAACCGATAGGATGCCGAGAACAAATACCAATGCCAAGAGAGAAAGCCAAACAATCCAAAATAACGGCACAAAAACAAATAAACGAACTTTACGTGGTTCGGCAAGTTGCCTACGTCCACGGGGCAAGAAGGGGATGAGTTTTCACTAATAGAGAAGAAGAGTACAAATAGAGATTACAAATCCACAAACTAATCTCTCACACAAAGCTCGCAATCTCTCAAACAAAACCTTAACTAATAGCTCCAGAAAAAACTCTTTTCTGTGCTCCAAATATCCCTAATACTGCTCTCCCCGAAACCCTAAAATGTGTTTCAATATATATATCAAAACACAAAACAAATCAAAACAGAAAACCAAATTCTGGGCCTGACCCGACTGATGGTCGACCGTCCAAAGCTCGCGGTCGACCGCGACTAACGACAGAACCCAGAAAATAATTACAGGGTTTGGCGGTCGACCGAACCAGGTCCAACCAAGTCCAGATTCATATCCCTTGTCTGTGCATGTATTCGGTCGACCGGCCTAGCCTCACAGTCGACCGAACATCACTAAAAATATTTCCCTGCTTCCAAAGTTCCTGTTCTTCTCTAATTTCTTCACAAATTCTACAGATTTATATAGTAAAAAAATTAATGTAATTTGTATCGATTGGACTATTTTGAAGGTGGTTCTAACAAAAAACCCCAATCTCATAGGGGAGTTGCTAACCACAGCCACCTCACTTCCCATGAAATTTATTACTACGTGTCACCTATTAAGCCTCCAAATTATCATTTGCCGTTCAATCCCGTACAATTGACCGCATCCATACCAACATGTACTTCTCTGTACCTTGCAATCCTACCTCATCATTTTATTATTTTTATCATCAACCCCTCTCTATAAAACTACTCTCCTCATCATCACCAAACCATTCTCTACAGTCTATAGCTTCTTCTATTCCTCTACAGCTCCTCCTCCGTCCCCTCCAACCTCAAAATCAAACTTAAGATGAAGGAACTAATCCGACGCCTCTCAAAACTAGGCGACTCTCCATCGCAATACAAGCTTCTAAGTAGCGAGACAGAGCAGCAGAAGGCCGTATCAGAAGGGCACGTGCCGGTCTGCATCGGAGAGGAGATGGAGAGGTTTGAGGTACGAGCTGAGCTCTTGGGACATCCAATTTTTGAGAAACTTTTACAGAGATCAGCTCAAGAGTATGGATATGAACAACAAGGGGTCCTTCGAATTCCGTGCTCGATATCTCTGTTTGAACGTGTTCTTGATTATCTTATGGAGTTTGGCGATCAACAAGAACTACCTGATGAGATTGAGAAAGAAATCCTTAGATTTTCTGAAGATAACTAGCTGAGACTTCTTATTGTTGGTATAATATGCATATAACTTTTTTCTTAAATGTTTTTTTTTAGTTTTTAGCATTAAAGAGTGGTAGAGAAAAGAGTAGGACTTGTATGGGGGTTATTGATAATTTTGTTGGAACATAAAATATTTGTTTTCATACGCCTCTTTGTAGAATTACCGTCTGGGAACATAAAATATTTGATTTCTTCTTCTTTTTTATCTTCTTCATTTTTTCCCACGTGGCAATCTTTTTTCATTGATTCAAATGATTAAAGATGAGTACTTTAATTGCATGCTAAGCAAGAAATTGTATGTTGGTTGCAAGTAAGTAATTTCTTTGAGTAACGATAACTTTACACAAGAGTTATATCACTATTACATTACTACTACACGAAAACATGAGACCTTTGATTTCTTGTAAATTACAAAAAGAATTTATGAGTTCCTATGAAACCCATGACTTCTTTATATCGAATATTGCAAGTGTAATACAACTCGTGCAATACTTAGCATTTTCCAAATTTTCTTTTAATGTAAAAGATAGTTGAATTAAGTTATATTATGATTGTATACCTATTTCTAGTGGCATTCTGGTGCGAAATTATGTCACCCTTTGCTCCTTTTTTCTCCTTAGCACATTAATTGCTTATTTCCTTTTTGCGAGTCAATACTACATATATATAATTTCGAAAAAGTAGTATTTAAGGGTAAAAAAAAACTTGGTCAAATGAAAAAGGAAGAAAAACTAGCAGAACGCCGCAAAACATTGAAGAAGAGGAAGAACTAATGGTGTTCGATATGGCCCAGTGGACAACCCCATCTTAGCCGGACATTGGCCCATTTTGTAACTAAAGTTGGAATTCAAGGTTTTAGATCTAATTAAGACATGGGCTTGTCTTTAGCTTAGTACAATGCTTCACGCTTAGACCTGCCTATTTAATAAAGAAAAATTAAAACTCAGCTTTACATAAAAATATTAATTCAGTACTAAATAGGGAGAGCATATAATTGAGTTATTACTCCCTCCAAATAAGCATTTCTGAATTTGGTTTTCGATCTCCACTATGGACTTACAAAGATATATTAGAGTTTTTTTAACCAGTGCAAAATATTAAAGTTTTAGGAAGAAATGTATTGATTCAAGGATTCTTTTTTTGATCTAAGTGTAAGACCATTTTAGATTAATTAGACTCATCAACTGAGAAACTTTTTAGCAAACCGGGCCTACTAATTTAATTTTATATTGATCTAAGAATTCTTATTTCTGGAAATAAATCCTAACCTGAATAATTTCCCCATCAAGATTCCCTCCTCTCCTATTTAAACCCTCTCCTCCAACTCAAACACAGCCAAGCTCCATCTTGCACGCCAAACCACGCCTCCAACCTCTCTTTTCTTTAACTCGTCAAATTCCTCACACTTCATCTAGCTTCCTCCCCCTCACTCAAACATTAATTAACTCCTCTCCTAATTCTATGTCTTGTGAATAGTTGAGCATGGGTCTTGTGATAGTGATCTCTCTTCCTCTCATTCTCTTCGCCATCCTCCTCGGTTTAGGCTGCTATCTCGTCGGCCGAGCAAAGCGGAGGCANNNNAGGTAGTAGCCTCCTCCCCCGGATCGCAGATATATGGCGTGCCCGTGCCACCTCCGGTAGTCCGAGAAGCCGGTTTGACTCCGGAGCACCCAAAGAAGGAAGGAGAAGATACTGTTTGAATGGTAATTCTCGAAGGAAATTAATTAAGGAGGGAGTGTGATATTTTATTTGAATTGTGCTGATAATTATGATTAGATATGGTTAAGATTATGTAGGAAGTCTTTCTACTGTGAAAATTAGAGTGGCTAGGGGCAGCCCAAAATGTGTTTGTGTTGTGAGTATCGTGAGAGGGGTGGTTTGCTTTGTAAAAGTTTCATTTGTGTGTGTTTGTGTGAGTTTAAACATTTTGGAGGTGATTTGATGAAATGCTCACGTTGATACGTTTTATGAATGATGAGTTTTTTCAACTAAGTTCCAATTTTCATTTATTTTGATTTTGATACGGGTAACTTGTTTTGGAGATTATGAAGCCGGGGTATGTAGAATTGGCAGAAAGTTCGGGTTTCAGCAGAATTGGGTGGCGGTCGACCGACCCAGTCGACCGCGATCGTGCACAGGAGTTATTGGGGTTCAGGATTGGTGGCGGTCGACCGATCCGGTCGACCGACGACCTCTCTGGAAGCAAGCCGCTGGATGGAGGGCGGTCGACCGGGCCGGTCGACCGCGATGGATCGCGGTCGACCGTACCGGTCGACCGCCGCTGCGGTTTTGAGTTGGGCCTGTTTTCAGACCCGCTTCGTTTTGGATTTGTATAAATACCCATTGGGTGTTTTTTAGGATTAAGAGCAAGGACGAATTTGAGCAGATTGAGAGAGTTTTCTTTGGGCTTCTATTCTAGGAGCAATTGGAGAGATTGAGAGTTGATTGTTGAGGGTTTATGAGAGATTTGTAACCCTAGTTTGTTCCTCTTGATTTCTAATAATGAAACCTCCCCCCTCCTTGCCCCGTGGACGTAGGCATCTTGCCGAACCACGTAAAACTGGTGTTTGGTTGTTTGTGCTGTTGATTTTGGTTGGTTGTTTATCTTTCTTGGCGATTGTTTTGGTTTCTCGAGGCACAACAATTGGTATCAGAGCTCCGGGCTACGCTTGGGCTATTTTGGAGGAGTAGATCGCTTTGGAAGTTCATCTAGGGCTTCGTTTGGTGATAAAGGTGGGATCTTTTCAGTAAAAATCTCGTCTTTTTCAATTTGGATCTATTTCTCATTTGTTTCCGCATTGGTTTGGTGGTGCTTTGAGATATATGGCTGAAAAAGATAAAAGTGGGGAGGGTTCTTCTGGTGTGAAGGCCGTCCAAAGTTTGAATATACATTCTATGAAAATAGATGTGGAAAAGTTCAACGGCACAAATAATTTTGGACTTTGGCGATGCGAAGTCATGGATGCGCTAAATGCGCAAAATTTGGAAGATACATTGGAGTTGGACGGAAAACCGGCCGACGTTGATGAAAAGGTTTGGAATAAGATGAATAGAACGGCGTGTGGTGTGATTAGGTCTTGCCTTACCCAAGACCTTAAATATGATGTGATGAATGAAACTTCGGCAAAGAAGATTTGGGAGGTCCTAGAGGGCAAATATTTGACGAAGAGCATCGAAAATCGTTTGCATTTGAAGAGGAGGCTTTATCGCTTCCAATTGAAGAAGGGGACATCCATTAGTGATCACATGAACCACTACACGAAGCTACTTGCAGATTTGGCGAATGTAGATGTCAAGGTTGAAGACGAGGACAAGGCATTGTTGTTATTGAGTTCCTTGCCCGACGAGGAATATGAGACCTTCGTCCTCACTCTTATTAATGGAAAGGCATCACTTTCGTATAGTGAGGTCACCGCAGCCCTTGTGAATTATCAACTTCGAAAGAAGGACAAGGAGACTTCCATCGAGCCGGTTGCTGGTGCATTGGTTGCAAGAGCTAGAAGTCCAAACCATGGAAGAAGGTCGCAGTCTAGAGTGGGGCATCCTGCAGTTGGTAGGAATCAGTGTGCCTTTTGTAGAGAGGATGGACATTGGAAAGCCGAATGCCCAAAATTGCAAGCTGTGAAGAATAAAGGGAAAGCTATTCAAGCTTCAGAGGTGAATATTGCCAAGGCTAGTGGCGATGTTTCAGATTCAGATTCAGATTCTTCGGGCTATTCGTGCCCAGCTCTTCCGTCAGTTGATGTTGCCGACTCCACCGAGTGGATGTTGGATTCTGGTGCTACTTACCACATATGCCCTAGAAGGGATTGGTTCTCCAGCTTTCAGGAGTTGGAAAGAGGGGATGTTGTTCTCATGGGTAATGATCACAGATGCCCTATTGGTGGTATTGGTACCGTTCGGATTCGGATGAGTGACGGGATGATCCGGGAGTTGGCTGATGTGAGGTTCGTTCCTCAACTGAGGAAGAACATCATTTCACTTGGGGTATTGGAGGCATCAGGCTATAGGGTGATCTTGGCGGATTCTCGCTTGAAGGTCACATCGGGGTCCATAATTGTGATGAAGGGAGTCAGGCGGAGTAACTTGTATTATCTACTTGGGAGCACGGTAGTTGATAGGGCGCTGACTACTTCTATGGCTAGACTGTGGCATTGTTTGGTGCTGGGATATATTGTTGGTTATACCGTGCACAGATTGTTGAGGAGTGCTATGACCTGCAGATTGAAGTCCTGTGAGCACATTGGTATGAGCAAGAAGACCGAGGTGGAGTTCAGCACTTCTATCCATCGATCGAGAGGTCTTATTGGAGGTGTTCAGTCAGGCATTTGGGGGCTTTCCGAGGAGGCATCATCGGGAGGTAATCGTTATTTTGTTTCCTATGTTGGGGATTGTACTAGGCATATTTGGGTTGCAACCAAGTCCCGTTGGTATAAAGACCTAGTAGTCCGCAACAGTTGGAGGAGGTGTATGGGCAGAAAGGTTACCAGTCGTACTTATTCTAGTAGGAGTCCTTTCTTGCATTGGTGCCGAGCTCATGGCAGTTGGAGACACTTCAGAGGGAAGGAGACAGTGGAGCGACGTGATGAGATGGCGGATTTAGTGGGCCGTTCTTTTCTGGAGGAGGATCGGTATTGGTTGTCGAGCAGTGGATCTGGTATTCAGGCTTCGACACATTTGGATCATCTTATGAAGTTGTCGACTGCTGCGTGTAGAGTTGTTAGATCTGGTGGAGTTGTTTCACATTTTGGTTGGCGTCGGATATTGGGCTACCCAGCACTTGGTCACATCGCTGATGTGAGATTGGATCCGATTGCGCATTTAGGATTCAGAGGCTCGTTCGGCTATCAGTGGGGAGCTTCTGAGTTTGGTCTGAGCAGGTTTGTCACTTTGGACTCTCGGCAGGTGGAGAGTATTGATCAGGTCAGAGGGATATCGCAGCGGGTGGAGGTTGATGCTACTCCACATTGGATGTGGATTTCCCCACATACT